AGAGTTCTTATAGGGATCTCAGCAAGGCTTTTCTGTGTTATGCTGAAGGACTAATATTTTCAAAGCTCATGCCTTTAGTGTTATGCACAGCTCTTCATGTTCTTCAAGACCCGAAAGATGTTAATAATTTATGTAATAAGAGAATAATTAAGTTTGCTACCAATCCTAGCTGAAAACAGAGCATTCTGTTCAGTCTTGATCAAGATATGGGAATAGGGACCCTTCAGAAGTAGACTACTGGAATTAAGTTTGCTGGAGAAGGCTTCTTAGTCTGAGGGACTTCAGGGAGATTCCTGATCACCGCTGCATTGGATGGCACTGCTCTAGCAGGCAGATCTGGTGGGAGATTGATAGATAGCACATCATACTGCCAGATTTGAAGGAGGAATTGGGGAATGAAAGGCAAGCTAATTCCATGTAATAGTGTGTGGAATACAGATATCCAGCTGTGGCTGATCCATTCTGGTGTACTCACATGGTGCACAGCAACTTGCAAGAATTGTTTACTTGATTCCAAAAGCAAAGCAGCTGGTTTTAAAATGACACCCAAGGTGAGCAATATCTGCCACTGAAAGAGCTGAGTTCTCAATACGAACAGTGTTACTTGATGCGTAGCAGATCTGAGTCTTCACTACTTTGAATTTTTGCTTCATTCTATAGAGTAGAAATATCATTAATAACTTAAGCCAGTATTGGACAAATGAACTCCTCTTGATCTCCTGAAATTATTAAGAGTGTTGCTGTGGACGGGATTTGGTGGTTGTAGCATCTGGGTGTTTCATTTCAGAAAGTGAAACAGGGTGACTGAGAAGAAGGAGGTGTAATTAAGTCAGCGATTATATTTTGGGCATGCACAAGTTCTTAGCTGTGCTACAAATTACACTGGTTGGCTGGTAGAGAAAGCTTCAGGTCATGGTTTAATGGATTAGTTTGTACTGAGATAGAGGAGATAAAGCACTAGCAAGAACTTCGAAGTCACAAGGCTCCATTATTACAGTTGTCTCCTCTGTAACACTTCTCATGAACTTTGCAGCTGTATTATAGGAACAGTTAGGTTGTTTGCTCCACCTCTTCTGCAGTCTGTCCAAAACAAACTGTGAGAAAGCAGTCTTTTCTACGTTTTCATTCATAATCATAAGACATAATTTCCACTCTTAATGTTTTAATAGTCTGTATGGCCTTTATATATACATATTTTTGTGGAAATATTACCCTCTAGATAAATTGTTCTTTTCCCTTCATGGTGCTTGTCTCATCTGTATTTATAGATAGAACATGCACCTCTTCTTGGCTTTTTTTTTATTGCTAGACTGACTAAATGAAGTATTTTTCATACTCTGCACTCTCCTGTCAGCTGATCACCCTCGCAGCCTTTCTCTGCAGCTGCTCCAATTTGAAATTTCTCATGTGTGTGTTTTTAACTGTTAAAATGGGAATGATGTCTAACATTCCAGATGTGGTCTCACCCGGGTATTGTTCAGTGGCACTGTCTTTTTCTGCTCCAATGAGTAGGTTCCAGAATTCCATCTGCCCTCATCACAGCTGTCTCGCCCTGATGAACCTGGCTGTTGGGTTGCTCTGGTTTGGAATAACTGTAGCACAGGTTGTTTGCTACAATCTTTTTATTAAACTTGAATGGTAACTCATTTTTCCATTAACAGTGTTATCTAATACTCCATTTTTTGTATACTATTTTTGTATAAATTTTTGCGTGTTACTAAGAATGTATATATTTATATATGCCTTCCCTCTTGAAAAATAAATTGGCAATATAGTTGCTGTTCCCAGTCATTACAGAAGTGATACTTCCTTTAAATTTTTTTACTTTAGAAAGGACAATCTTATATGTCACTGTTTTCATAATTCTGAGAAATGGATTATTTTTGACTGCATTAACTTTAATAACTTCAAAAGTGCTCCTGTTCTCCATTTGTCATTGTTTTCATATCGGAGACAACATAGATAAGGATTAGGGTGGAGGTTGGGAGGTTGGGAGTTCATTCCCGAATGTCCTTAATCTTCCTGTTGTCCCTGTTTAGTATACACACTCCACCACCACCACCCCACCACCCC